AATTGAAATCTTATTTTTCTTTTTCTAATTTCAGAATTTATTTTTTTTTCAAATTTTAATTAATATCGTATTGTGTTTTTTTAATATTTTTATTTTTTATTTTCAACTTTAGTTATTTCAAAATTGTATTCCTACTTGAACTCTCTTTTAATTTTTCTAATTTTGGATATTATTTTATTTTTTATTCTGAATTTTAATTAATCTCGTATTGGGTTCTTATATGGATTCTTCTTTTAATATTGCTAATTTTTAATTCCGAATTTCAGATAATTTTAAATTGTATTCCTACTTGAACTCTTCTTTTATTTTTTTTGCTAATTTCAGATTTTATTTTTATTTTTATTTCTAATTTTAATTTATCTCGTATTGGGTTCTTATAGGAACTCTTCTTTTAATATTCCTTATTTTTAATTCCGAATTTCAAATATTTTAAAATTATATTTCTACTTGAACTCTCCCTTTTTTTCTAATTTTGGATTTTATTTTATTTTTATTTTGAATTTTGATTAATCTCATATTGGGTTCTTATATGGAAACTTCTTTCAGTATAGTTTATTTTCAATTTCGAATTTCAGTTATTTTTAGATTGTACTTCTACTTAGACTCTCATTTTCTTTTTTTTCTTTTCTTTTTGCTAATTTCGGATTTTATCTTTATTTTATTTTGAATATTAATTAATCTCGTATTGGGTTATTATATGGACTTTTCTCTCAATATTCCTTATTTTTAATTCTGAATTTTAGTTATTTCGAAATTATATTCCTAGTTGGACTCTCATTTTCTTTTCTAATTCCGAATTTCAGCTATTTTTAAATTATATTTCTATTTGGACTCTTCTTTTCTTTTTCTCCGATTAATGTGGGAATTTCTAGCCCCCACAGCGAACGTGGCGCCTCCTTTTAAGGCTGTTTTAATAATATAACTAGCTAGGTGGCCCGCGCAATTGCGCGGCTAGCACCTAAACACAATTATAAATTTTTCGGTATAATTTTGCTTAAAATTTATTAAATAGCTATCTTGTTGTCGTAAGACTTTAAAAGACCAAATCTTATCATCTTCGTATTTCCAACTATATATTAAAATTTATTAAATAGCTATCTTATTGTCATAAGACTTTGAAAGACCAAATCTTATCATCTCCGTATTTCCAACTATATAGTTCTTAAAAGTCAGACCAGCTGCTACCTCTTACTTCTGTCATATCCTTCTTTATTTGCTTGCTCGATCTACCACTATTTCTATTCATTCTCCTTGAAACCTTTAAAAATTAGATCTTATAGTTTCGTTTTTATAATTTCTAGAAGTCTCGTCAAACGCTATCATTATGCGCTTCTACGGCCCGTCTACTGTCTTTTCTCTTTATTGTCATTGGAATTTTAAAAATCGAACATAATTACCGTTCGGGTTCATTTTTTTACTTTCTAGAAGTCCCACCAAACCGTCAGGGACTTTGCTATTGTACTCCTCTATGGCTCGTCCGCTGCCTCCCTTCTTTATTGTCATTGAGATTTTAAAATCGACCATGATTATCATTGTTTTTTTTACTTTTTAGAAGTTACGAACCTTAAAAATTGGTAGTTTTTAGAGCTTATTGTCTTATTGGGTTTCATTTTTTATAGTTTTTAGAAGTCCCATCAAACGATGCCACTATACTCCTCTAAGGCCCATCTGCCGCCTACTCTTTATTGTCATTGGGATTCTAAAAATCGAACAAAACTATCGTTAGAATTTACTTTTTATTTTCTAGAAGTCCCGCCAACCGTTGGCAGCTCTGTAACTATACTCATATACACCCCGTCCGCTGCTTCTACTTTTTATTGTCATTGAAAATTTAAAAATCGAATATGGTTATCAATGGGGTTTATTTTTTTTACTTTCTAGAAGTCCCGGCAACTGCCTTGCCTATTTGCTTCACGGCCTGCCTGTCGTCCCTCCTTTTAATCGTCATTAGGATTCGATTTGGTGTTTTATTAACAGTTTTTATATGCCGTATTAACTGCCACCACTCTACTCCTTTATAGGCATGCTACTTAATTTATCTCGTCAAATGTTTTAGATGGTCTTGTACATGCATAGATCATACTGGCGAAGATATTGTACCTTAAATTTTATTTGCCATGTCTTATAAAATACGAATATGCTCAGGCCAGGGCGACCGACGGGGGTGGAGCAGGATCGAGCGCTCCCCCCCTCCCCGTGCGCACGTTCTCCTGGCCCCACCACGTGTCTCAAAATAATATTTCACCTAGTGTACTCATAATATTTCACTATGTATAGATCTAATGTTGCAGTGAATTAAAATATTATTTTGCAACAAATCACCAACATATTTTGGAAACCCTCTATTAAGGAAAGTCGTTTCATTTTTTTGTTCTACTAAAAATGTTTCACCTAGTGTACTCACAATGTTTCACTACGTATAGATCTAATGCTGCAGTAAACGAAACTTCTTTTGCAACAAATCACCCACATATTTTGAAAATTCTCTATTAAGGGAATTCGTTTTTTTGTTCCACAAAAAATGTTCCACCAAGTGTACTCACAATGTTTCACTATGTATAGATCTAATGTTGCAGTGAACTAAAACATTCTTCCGCTATTTGCTAAAATATTGTTTTTATATAAGGTGAAATAACGCCCGATTTAATAATAAGCTAAAAAAATTTCGTCGGAATATATCCATGTGTGGTCTTGTTTTGAATATTTAATTGCAACGAATTTAATGGTGTAATCGGATTATGATTTGGATAAATAATTTAAGAGAAAAAATAGTTTAAAGTGGTTTTGCACGCATGCATGGCTCTGACGTTATGCTGACGTTAGCGTCCGATTTTTTCATGCTTGGATGGGGCGCCCGATCGGTAGTCTCGTCCTATAAAATAATGTATATCTACGTTGATTTCTTCGTAACATACTTGCTTTGCTTCTAGATCGATTGTGGGCTATCTCCGCCCAATGTCTCTGCTATCTTGGCGTGTGCATACGGCATGACATGCATGCAGTGTTCTCCCTCTTTACTATCAATGGCCATGTATGTATGGCACGTATATTTTCCAGCCACATATGAAACGTGGATCACTATAGTTCAATTTGCACTCTAATTACCATCTAAACATAGATTAATGTAATTTGTCTGATTACTGTCCATAAGACCATAGCATCCATACTCAGATAACCTGTCTGACTCCTAATCAATCAACATGTCCGACTTCTATTCATTCAACATGTCCGACTCCCATATTTCCTATTAGATCAAAGTTGCTTTCTATCTAGACTCAATATTGTCATGAATAATCTACACCACTAAAATCTAGTATAACTACGATCTAACGGTGTAAATATTTATCTTTTTATCCGATTAATGTGGGAATTTCTAACCACCACAGCGAATGTGGTGCCTTCTTTCAAGGCTGTTTTAATAATATAATAGATAGATAGATAGATAAATTAAAGGACTTGCTGCCTTTCAAACAGGCTGTTGCATATATTTTATGTTAAAATTATAGTTTTAGTTTGTTACAATTTCTGTAGTTACAAGAGAATAAAAAAACTCATTAGACAAAATCATAAACCCAGTAAAATTTGATCCGTACTCCCTTCGTCCCAAAAAAAAAGCTTATCCAGATTCATTTACTGGAAGGGGTTACATCTCCTCCTAGGTGGTTTTTTTTGGGACGGAGGGAGTAGGCAGAAAGTACATGCACATGGCTCCAGTCAAGGTCGTCGGTACGTTCATCGATCATATCAGTTCCGTTTAAATGACTCTGCCGATTCAAGGCCTATGTCCAATGTGGATTCGGATCAGCTGCAGTTAAAATAGCGACTGCAACATAAGCAGTAGCAGCGCGCATTATTAGATGCAAACTGGACGGTATAGATCGCACGTAGCACTGTTCATAGCACTGTAGCAATAGATACTGTAGCACAAAGTACTGTTCACGTGATTGCTGTAGCAATAAATCTAAACCATTGATCAGAAAAACATATTAACTTACAGTTATAAGTCTAACTGCACCTAATCTGAATTCGTCCAATGCACAGCGCCAACAAACCATGGTTGGACGGTCTTCATTAATTATTCATGCGTTCAAGGCACTCACGATGTAGTACTAGGGCTGTTTCTATAGGAATCAAGGGACTCTATATTCAATTCAAAAGTGCCATGGTAACCACTAGTGAATTAATTTTGTTTTAGCTTTAGCTCTATGAACAGCTTTGCTCGTGGAACTGAAGTTGTTTTTATAAATGTTTGGTAAACAGCTTCTTAACATAGATAAATAAACAAGTAAACAGCTCGTTATATTTCTTTTCCCTTTTTTATTTTCTAATCTCTGCTTTCTTTATCCTTCCGCTCGCCATGAGCAACCGTGAGGCATTCACGTCCTGCTCCCAAGGAGAAGGCCCGACGTACGGCTGAGGCCTCCGGCTTCGTCTGTCCGTGTGCTGCCCAGGGTTTGAAATTTTGGTTCGAAATTTCGAAAATTTCGCAACCCCCACCGAAATGCTCATATCTCGTCCGAAACTTTTGGTTTTTTGTAATTTTTGTGAATTTGATTAAATTTTATTTAAAATCAGTCAAAATTTCAAAAAAAAATTGTACGAAAAAAATCCGAAATTTCTGAAATTTCGGTTCTTTCGCTCCCCTCCGAAATTTTGGTTCTTTCCGAAATTTGAAACCCTGGTGCTGCCACCCCAAGGTCCCACCCGCCACAAAGGTTCAGCGTTCAGGCGAGGCCTCCGACATCTCCACATCCTACCCAGAGCACTACTATATTGATTTGTAGGGACGCTCACAAGGGTTTGTAGGGACCGTTTGCCCAGCCGCCCCTATAAATCGATTTGTAGGGGTGGCTAGCTGAAAAACGAGCCGTTTCTACAAATCCATTTTCCAGAAATCATAAATTTGGGCTAAAAAATAGCAAAATTTTCTCTTTCAATCCCAGGAGGCCCCATCGGGCAGCCACACGCCCGCGCCGTCGCGGATGTCCAAATTTTGTCTATTGCAAGAAAATTAACAGGCCAAATAAAGGCCCAAATTTTCCATTGTAGTTGTTTTTCTTTACCAAAGACCTTTTAAATTGGTCCCGCTTTACTGAAAGCAAAGGTCAGTTCCAACTTACATGTACTACAATAGATCAGTTCCAACTTCAACCAGACACACAGCCTACGCAAAATAAATGGGAAAGCCCTGGACGCAGCCCGGCATTATAATTAACGCGGATATTCATATTTTACAGCGATACATTCACAGCATCCAGGGCAGGCATCTGTTGACGACGATGAGAAATTCAGAATGGCCTGACGTAGACACCGATGGCGCTGAGGTAGGAATCGCCGGTGCGGGCAAAGAAGCCGACGATGCTGCTGTTGTTCTTGATGGGAACGCTGAAGCGATCCCAGCCGGATGTGTCCACTATTCCAAAGGGTCCATGGCGTCCGCGGTTGGTGACGAACGTGAGGTTGGCTATGCTGTTGTGGCCGTAGTAGGATCCGTACTCCCCGTGAACTTCCGTCACGAACTCCGACGGGCCAAGATTTATCTGCGTGCGTGGCAGAGATGCATGGAGCTCGCATGGCTATCAACCAGACCTAGGTGGACACGGCGCAGATCGATAGAGAGATGGAGCTAGCTTAGCTTACCGTGATTTCCTGGCCGCCTCTGCCGCCCCAGGGTCCGGCGGTGTGGGGTAGCTTCTCGCGGTCCCTGTAGGAGAAGCTAAGGCAGTCGACAACCTCGCCATGTTTCACGGTGATGCTTTCCAGGCGCAGAGGAGCTACCGCGATGTCACAGTTCTCGGTCAACTGGGAGCCCCGGCCCATGCCCCATGGTCCAATCTTCACCACCGAGCTCTGCAAGAATCAACTCAAAGTAGAAGACAATGTTTACATATACTGCTCTATGTGTTGTTGAGATAGAGATGGAGATCGAGAGAGAGAAGTGATGACCATTCTTTTGCAGTACGCGGTGCGTAGTAATTTGGGCACAACTTGTTTCGAGATTGATGTGGTTACCAACTGATATATTTCCTGTATATATATGTGGCTCCATGATTGGCCTCCATGATTAATTAGGAGCAGTAGCGGAGCGTTATTTATGCAAGAGGATGGAGTAGCGCGCTGGCAAGCCTCCTTGGATGGGATGTTTTACCATACCCCCCACTTGGACGTGTAGTGGTGTAGCTCCTTGGATTACATCTGACCATTGATTGTTGGGGGTACTTTAGTCCTTCTCATCTTTATTTTGGTGGAAAGGAGAGGTGACTATTGATCGGTCGCCCGATCGAAATCTTTAAAAAACGAACGCGGACGTCAGCACCCGATTTACGTGTAAAACTACTTTAAACTGATTTTCCTCTTAAATTACTTATCCAAATCATGATCCGATTGCACCATTAAATTCGTTGCAATTAAATCTTCAAAACAAGGCCACCCATGGATATATTCCGAAAAATTTTAGCTTATTATTGAATTTTTTAAAAATGTTGCACGATGTTCCACCACGTATATCGGAATTGTTTCACTAAGTAGATCGAAAATGTTTCACTCGTTTAAATCGGGTATTGTTTCACCTTATATAAAAATAGTGTTTCAGCAAATAGCGAAAGAATGTTTTAGTTCACTGCAATACTTGATTATCCATACATAGTGAAAGATTATAAGTACATTAGGTAAAACATTTTTCAGTGGAAAAAAAATAAAACGAATTCCCTTAATAGGGGGTTTCCAAAATATGTGGGTTTTTTTGTTGCAATGAAGTATTTCAGTTCACTGCAACATTAGGTCTATACATAGTGAAATATTGTAAGTACACTAGGTGAAACAAAAAATAAAACGAATTCCCTTAATATAGGGTTTCCAAAATATGTGGGTTTTTTTTGTTGCAAAAGAATATATTTTAATTCACTGCAACATTAGATCTATAAAAAGTGAAACATCTATTATATTATTAACGGAATAGAAAAAGGAGGCTCAACGTTTACTCTCATGGCCTAGAAATTCTCACATTAATCGGAGAAAAAGAAAAAGTAAAGTCCATATAGAAATACAATTTAGAAATAGCTGAAATTCGGAATTAAAAAATAAGTAATATTAGAAGAGGAGACTAGAGTCCATAAAGAAATACAATTTAGAAATAGTTGAAATTCGGATTAAAAAAATAAAGAATATTAGAAGAGGAGACTAGAGTCCATATAGAAATACAATTAGGAAATAACTGAAATTTGAAATTAAAAATAAGGAATATTAGAAGTAGAGTATAGAGTCCATATAGAAATACAATTAAGAAAAAAAAGAAATTTGGAATTAAAAATAAGGAAAATTAGAAGTAGAGTATATAGAGTCCATGTAGATATACAATTAAGAAAAAAATATAAATTCGGAATTAAAAAATAAGGAATATTAGAAGTATAGTATAGAGTCCATATAGGAATTTAAAACTAACTAAAATTCAGAATAAACATAATAAAATAAAAAGTAGTGTTTAGAGTCCATATAAAAATACAATTTACAAATAACTAAAATTCGAAATTAAGAAAAATATGGGAAGAAGAGTTTAAAGCCAATATAGAAATACAATTTAGAAGTAACTGAAATTTGAAATTAAAATTTAAAGAATATTGAAAGATGAGTTTAGAGTCCATATAGAAATACAATTAGAAATAATAAAAATTCAAAATTAAAGAAAAGAAATATTAAAATACGAGTGTAAAGTCCATATAGGAATATATATAATTTACAAATAACTAAAATTTTATATTAAAAATAATTAATAACTAACACGTATATAAAATACTATATGAATATTACACATTAGTAATTTCGTAAAGTTATTACAAAATTTAAAATTATATTGTCATCTATTATATTATCTATTATATTATTAAAGGAATAGAAAAATGAGCCTCCACGTTCGCTCTCATGGTCTAGAAATTCTCATATTAATCGGAGAAAAATAAAAAACAGAGTCCATATAAAAATACAATTTAGAAATAGCTAAAATTCGGAATTAAAAAATAAGGAATATTAGAAGAGGATACTAGAGTCCATATAGAAATACAATTAGGAAATAATAGAAATTTGGAATTAAAAATAAGGAAAATTAGAAGTAGAGTATAGAGTCCATATAGAAATACAATTAAGAAAAAAAATAGAAATTCGGAATTAAAAAATAACGAATATTAGAAGTAGAGTATAGAGTCCATATAGGAATTTAAAACTAACTAAAATTCAGAATAAATATAATAAAATGAAAAGTAGTGTTTAGAGTCCGTATAAAAATACAATTTACAAATAACTAAAATTCGAAATTAAGAAAAACATGGGAAGAAGAGTTTAAAGTCAATATAGGAATACAATTTAGAAGTAACTGAAATTTGAAATTAAAAATTAAAGAATATTGAAAGATGAGTTTAGAGTCTACATAGAAATACAATTAGAAATAATAAAAATTCAGAATTAAAAAAAATAAATATTAAAAGACGAGTCTAGAGTCTATATAGGAATATATTAATTTACAAATAATTAAAATTTGATATAAAAATAATTAATAACTAATACGTATATGAAATACAATATGAATATTACACATTAGTAGTTTCGTAAAGTTATGGCAAAATTTAAAATTATGTTGTCATTGTAATATATTTTAATAATATAATGAGAAAACATATATGGTATTATATGAGAGAAAATATAATGATGCTAGCCGCGTAATCTGCGCGGGCCACCATACTAGTTGTAATATATTTTAATAATATAATGAGAAAACATATATGCTATTATGAGAGAAAATATAATGATGCTAGCCGCGCAATCTGCACGGGCCACCATGCTAGTTATAAGTATACCAGATGAAATATCTTTTGTGGAAAAAAGGAGAGAGGGGTGGGTGGGCCCAACAGGTGGACACGGGGCTGGCCTTCAACCTTCGCACGGCCGCGTCTCTGTTGCCGCCTTGCCGGGGGGAAGGTCCAGGACGACGGGGAACAGCCCAGGGGGCGGCGCGGCGCATCTCCGGCGGCTTCCTATCCTCGTTGTATTGCATTCGGAGTCGTCGCCCCCTTCGTCTTCCTCGAAGCCGACGTGCAGCGGCTGTTGCACGTCGCCGATGAAGTGGGCCAGGAATATCAGGCTCTCCGTCAGGTTGTCTGGTTTTGTTCATGTGGCCTGGGTGTGTGTTCAGAGATCATCAGATATGAGTGCCCTGCCTGCTGAATCAGAGACTAGTAGTATTTGGCAGTGTTGTTGTTGCAGAAAAGCTTACATGAACTCTTTGAATCGCCGCCATAGCTGTAGAGCTGGTCAGTGTAGTTGTTGATAGCCCCGACGATGCAACATCCCTTGCTGGTGACGAGAGTTATGGCAATCCCCTGAATAATTTGAGAGGCACAGGCAGATAATTCCATGATGAAGTGAATGAACTCATGTTTCAGAAATCGGACAAATGTTTATGCCTACTCATCCCTGCCACCGTCTGATCAGAGTGGCAGATTTCACCACGGAATACTGATTTACGCATGTACTGTTTTACCTTAAGTTCAGCTCTTCAAATTAGCAAACTTATCATTCCATTGAAGACCCAAACAACATATCCAGTAGTAGTTAGGAACTTAGGATTATCTCTGAACTAAACTAATAGTAATTAAGGCTGTGTTTAGCTGATGGCAAAGTTTGGATTTTGGTTGAAATTGGAGATGATATGACTAAAAAGTTGTCTGTGTATGACAGGTTGATGTGATGGAAAAGGACTGAAGTTTGGATCTAAACACAGCCTAACAAGAGGTTTGTGTGGCACATGTGACTCTATCAAACTGTCAGCGGCACATTCCTGGTCCAATTTGGATCCTCTGCAGTGGAGGAGAGAATGCAGAGGGAGCTACAGTTCTCTGCATTATGGTGTGTTGTTTGCTGTTGGATCCACATCCAACGGTCTAAAACAAATCGCCACAGCAGATCTAAACAGTAAATTGGAACAGTAATCGGGTAAACAGTAATCAGATTACTGGTTTACAAAGCACTTTGCTACAGCTGGAATACCATTCGTTTCATTGATTCACTGTAGCGGACTCAGAACACTGTAGCTACAGTCTTCTATTATGTTCTGTAGAGGACCTGGATCCTTCCTGGTCCCATAAGAACGTGCTAAAAAAGTTTACAGGATATTTCTTGAGATATTCAGAACGTGAAGACGCAGAGCACACACAATTCTTCTTATTATTATCAAGTCGTCAGATTCCTCTTGTTATTATGTCGTTTTTCTTTCTGAGTCTAAATTAAATGTGCATTACAGGCGAATATTATTCTGACAAAGGAAATGCTTTGCTAAAAAAGATGATTCTGATTCACTAGGTGTGCAATTATTTTGAGTAGAGATAGGTTCACTGGCTTGTTCCTTTTCATCTGATCTGGTTTTTGAAGTACCAAACAGTGTATCTTACTGGCCATTGTTTCCTTCAAAATCACAAGTAGTTTTTCCAGAAATCACATGACCAGTAGAGTCTGTCAGGGTATTTGAACTGTTATTGCTACCACCAATTAGGTGCAGATGATTCATACGAAGTACTCCAAGACGGAAGCAGCTGACTTCTATCAACTTTCACTTGAATCTGACTGAAGGATCTCATCATTTACTGTAGTTGGAGCAGATGAAAAGTTTGTAACATTAGTTTCTTCTACAGAGCTCTTTTCTCATTTGCGGTGACATGTATTTTCTATTAAAACGGATGGCAGGAGCTTTGGCCATTGATTTATTAATTAGGCTTAATAAATTCGTCTCACGAATTAGCCTCCATCTGTGTAATTAGTTTTGTAATTAGTCTACATTTAATATTTTAAATTACTATCCAAACATCCGATGTGACATGGACTAAAGTTTACACTGGTGGAGAAACCATTTTTGGTCGGTCGACCAAATTTCACAATAGTCCCAGTTTCATTAAAAACCGAGACTAAAAACGATTTTTAGTCCTGGTTAAAAAAATTTTGATCTACACCAACAGGGACTAAAGATGATTTTTAGTCCCGGTTCATCCCCTGTCAGATAATGTCAGGGGGTCGAGGATCTTTAGTCCCGGTTGATACTACCAACCGGGACTAAAGATTACCACT